ATAACAGAGAGTGATCAATGACAAAAAAAGCATCTGGATGAGATCGTCCCATGGAAAGCAATGGGACCACTTAACTAAGACTAGTGAAGGGGACAGGATTGTACTCCTAGAAGGATTCTCCTCTGTTGTCCCAGGTGGCCCATGAAGACAAACGCTTGGCGCATACCTGGAAGACCAGGACCTCTCCTTGAGGGTGAGCAGCAGCAGCTGGAGACCCTGGAGAACCCAGAAGATGATGACAGAGAAGAAGCACTTGCTCTCCCCTCAGGTGTATTGGAGGCATCTCGACCTCTGCCGGGTATAGAATTTTTCTACAGAGGAATCGGGGAGCCTTTCATCCTTGGAGTTGGGAGAAAGTTATTCTGTTTCCCTCTGCATTTTAATCATTCTATACCTTTGTCTTGATCACCACTCATCACTTCTCTGTTTTGTAATAACTTTATGTTTAATGTCCGATTCGTTCCAATTGTGTGACTGCACCAGCAATGTATCTTAGACACTTAATGCCTCAGTTAAGCTGATTTTTCATCTTTTTAATGTGTTTTATAATCTATTCTAACTCACAACTCCCCTTTCCTAGCTGGAGGGTACTCAGAGATGGTTGATCTTTCCCCTTTTTAGGTTGGACATGTACATCAACTACATTTTCTATATGGATTGGGAAGCACAACAGAACAGGGGATTGCTAAATAAATTGTTTCTGTTTATTTTATTTATTTTGATTTATATGCTGCCCACATTACCCAAAGGTCTAGTGGTCTTCTAGTACAGTAGCCGATTCATTATTCTTGGAACACTTGTAGTAAAAAAATATCTTCATGCTGTATGTTTAATAGAACTTCAAATCTAGGGCAATTTGGGGGGTGACTTCTATATCCCCCTATAATTGTTTTAACCCTCTTTAACAGAAAAGGTAGCAAATCCTCAGAAAACGTTACAAAGTCCCAAGAAGCGTCATGGGGGAATCAAAACCTTGAAATCTAGATCCACACTCCATTCACTGATCTCTTCATCCAGCTAGATTTAGAAAAAGACTTTTCTTCATGATAGGAACTTTTGCATTAGCATTCTCTTTTACATTCCCTTCCGAAGCAAAAAGAAATGTTCTTGGACTTTAGTGCTCAGCCAATAAACATTCATTTTTTGTTCATGTCCACCTAAAACTTTTAGCACTAAGACTGGAAATCTGATTCCTTTAATTCCCTTGACTTCTGTTGGTTAAGAAGCTGGAAACCCAGGTCAGGAATGATTGCGATCTACTGTTTTCTCAACAGAGAAAGGGAGGCAGCAGGAAATTGGTGTATTTTCCCTGTTAAATAGCAAAAGCCTCTAATTACCATGAATTCTCTCCTTCTTCCAGCAGATGATGTACAGGAGGCGGAACGAAAACTCCACAGGACATCCTCAGAAAGAGTGGAGGATGAAAACGGGAACTGTGGGAAGAGAGATGAATTGCAGAGGGAGAAGGAAAATGAGGCAAATGAGAGGAAAAACAAACCTCACCCTGATCTGAGAGGAGTTGTCTGTCAAGAAGAAGAGGAAAAGACTATAAAAAGATCTCTCAATCTCTTTCAGAGCTCAGAGTCTGGGCTAAGGAGCCCTCTGAGGAAAAGCCCAGTGAAATGTCCAACATGCCACTCAGAGGAAAATCTTTGTAAATGTTTGGAACATGGAGAGAGTTCCAGAAGGAGACCAGAAGATCGAGGATTTCCCACAGGAGAGAAACCTTATGAAGACTCAGAGTCTGAAAAATGCTTCAGTGTTAGCTCAGCTCTTCAAGACACTCAGCCAGTGCACTCAGAAGGAAAATTGTATAAAGGTGAAGAATATGGCAAGAGCTTCAAGGGAAGTTCTGGACTTAAGGAACATCAGGGAATGGACAGTGAGAAGAGCTGCCACAAATGTCTTGAATGTGGAAAGTTCTTCATGTGGCATTTAAGTCTTAGACAACATAAAAAAATTCATTCGGGAGAAAAACCCTTTCTCTGTGAAGAAAGTGGGAAGCGGGTCACTAACCATTCAAACCTTGTAGTACATCAGCGGATTCACTCAGGAGAAAAAACATTTCCCTCTGAAGAATGTGGGGAAATGTTTACCCAAAACTTCAACCTCGTAGCACACCAACGAATTTACTCCGGAGAAAAAAGGTATGATTGAGATGAATGTGGGAAATGTTTAAGTGCTCCCTCAAAGTTTTTTTAAATTATAATTTTATTTTATTTTTTACATAAA